TCCTTACTGGGCACGCGGACGCTTCTTGGGCTGACGACCAGGCTACGCAGCGGTCGTCACAGGGTTACACTTTCAGTCTTGGTTCCGGCTCTGTTTCGTGGCGGGCTACCCGCTCGTCTTCTGTTCTTGGCTCCAGTTGTGAGGCTGAGATCTACGCCGGGGCTATGGCTGCACAGGAGCTTCGCTGGCTCACCTACCTGCTGACCGACCTTGGAGAGCCGCCTCGTTCTCCTCCAGTCTTGTACGTAGACAACAAGGCCATGCTGGCCTTGTGTCGAGAGCAGCGAATGGAGCACAGGACAAAGCACATTGCTCTCCGCTACTTTCTTGCGCGTGAGCTGCAGCACCGTGGACAGTTGCGGCTTGCGTACGTGGCCTCTGAGGCCAACACTGCTGATGTCTTCACCAAGGCACTTGCGCCTTGTGATCATCAGCGCTTCTGCACTCAGTTGGGCCTTGTGCCTATCTTGCCTCACTTGCTTACTTCTTGACCTTGCTTTTACTGTCACGTATATATACTCTTGCTCTTGCTTGCTTAGCCTTTTGTATACCTATATATGTGATCTTGCATGTGAACTGGCCTTCTGGCCTTTGAACTTATGCTCGGAATGTGTGGTGACTTTGTGATCCACCCTGAGCTTTGCCTTGCTTTGCTTGACTGGTCTTGTGACCCCTTGTTCTCCCCCACTTTGCCTATGGGGGTGTGTCAGAACATTATAGCTTACTTACTTGTGTAGGCTATAGTGGGTTATCCAATAGGGGGTACAACCCAATTAGGGTTTCCTATTTGTACTCACTTCGTTCATAGTTCATTCATTCTCGTTCTATTCTTCTCACTAGTTGCTGTGAACTTCCGGTCGTGAAAAACGGTTCCGTACTGTATGCGTGGGTGAATAGGCCTGCTAACACTAGATTGGTTTGGGCGAGTAGGATGGCATGGACTTGGGCGGTGGGGCGTGTGAGTGCGTCGGCGATGTTGGATGTGCCTTTTTTGTATGTGACCGTGTAGTGGAAGTTGGACTCCAGATAGACCAACCAGCGGATCTGTCGTGGGTTGAACGCGTGCACGATCGCCAACATCTCGCGGTCGTGTATCAGGTAGTTGCATTCAAGCGGGTGAAGTTTGCGCCTTGAGGCCGTTCCCGAAGTCCTGCAACAGTACTGCTCCCATAGCGATGTCGCTAGCGTCGGTGACGAGCTCGAACGGACGGTGCGGATTTGCGATGTGAAGTACGGGCGGCGAGCACAAAATATTTTTGAGGGCCGAGAAGGCAGCATGCTCTTTCTCCCCCCACGTGTACTCAACCCCCTTCCTCAGCAGGTCGGTCAATAGGGCAGTCAGCTTCGCCATGTCGGGGACGAACCGGCGCACATAGTTGACGAACCCCAGAAAACTCTGCAACTCGGTCAAGTTGGTCAGTGCGTGCCATGCTTGAATCGTCGTGACTTTTTTCGGGTCTATTTCCACTCCTGCAGCTGAAATAATGTGTCCCAAAAACTCCAGTCGAGCCCCAGCGAGGTAAGGCGATGTTGTTACCGTTCACTCGCACAGTGCAGTCACCCATCGTCCAGTCGATTCGCGGATTGTGTCGTCGCAGCCAATCATGCCCGAGTAAAATGTCGGTCCCGTCGAAGGTCGTTGCGAGCATTTCCTGGCTAAACGTGAAGTTACCCCCGCATCGAATCCGAACTCGGCCCACACGTTCCCGTATCACCACTTGGTAGAGCGCAAGGCTCTTAACCTTGTGGTCGTGGGTTCGAGCCCCACGGGCGGCGTTTTGAAAGTATCACATATGCACCGGGTAGAGAACTTGCCATTTTCGCTTGGTTCATCTTTTGCATGCTCGATTATTTCAGTCCCCACTCTTCCAACAACTCACTGACAGCCTTCCAATCTAGCCTTGTAGATCATGCTTGGGTTGTTCTTTTAGCCAGCCCCCAGGGTAACTAATTAGGCTTGGCTACCTGATCTCCAGGAGTGACCTGACCTCGTCCACTTTTGGGCCTAGTTGGTGATGAAATATCTAACATAATGAACTGGACAGTTGTCTGGATCGAATGCTAGTGGATTGAGCGCTGAGAGGGAGAAAGTAAATACTTGTCAGGAAACATGAACTGGAAAGAGGGGGAGAACGTCAATCCAGGGAAAGCCATGTTCATGAAATAACAGAAACAATCAAAAGGTAAAAAAAAAACTAACAACAAGCTTCAAATCAGTACGCTTTCATTGACGAGAGCGCGAAGTATCAGTAGAGCTACACTGTGAGATCCCCGATCGATCCTAAGGGGGGTTACAGGCGCGTTTGCCTGGGGGGTTATGGGCGCACTGACCCGCTACTGAAACAAGCCCTTTTATCCCAGTGGTCTAGTGGCTGGGATTCTGACATGGTATCAGAGCGGTCTCGGGTTCGAATCCCGGTGTATGCACATGTTGGCCGTTGCCACTATGCTCAGTCCTGGGCCTCCCAGTGTGGGGGGGTATCAGTAGAGCTACACTGTGAGATCCCCGATCGATCCTAAGGGGGGTTACATGCGCGTTTGCCTGGGGGGTTATGGACGCACTGACCCGCTACTGAAACAAGCCCTTTTATCCCAATGGTCTAGTGGTTGGGATTCTGACACGAAGAGGCCTTAAAGGCCGTAACGCTCCCACGTCGACGCGATCCGCGTATCGAACGGGGTAGGTTGGAGCCTTCCGCCTTACCCCAGATTTGCATGGCCTCCCTGACTCGCTCCTATTATCAGCACCCACGTTGTCATTATGAACGACGCGCTCCTGCTGATAGTAGCAGCCGCGAATTGCTTTACTAGTAATGGGTGGCAGAGGATGTGATACTAATAAGCGATTCGGTGGGAGTAGCGAGGTGAACGGTGGGTGAATACGATAGTGAACGGCGAACTCGAAGAAAATATCCGCTCAAATATAATATTTACGTCGTAAAAAATTAGGCGCTGAGTTTATGGCGCATAAAACGGAGAAAGAAACTATCCAGGCAGCAAGGTTGCCACCAAACTCAAGAATGAGCTTCAATACGAAGACAGAGCCGGGAAACGCGCCTCGTATTATGTTGCATTTCTCTGCTGAGTGTGGGGACTGCGAAATGCTAGAACAGAAAGGAGCACAAACCATTTGTGTTACCAGATGCGAAACACTTTGTTTGGGTTCGTCAAATGAGCTGAGTTCCCAGCCTTGCACCCAACGACGAACTAAAAATTCTGGCGTTGCGTAGCTACAATAATCGTGAAGCCTCTCGCCTTGCTTGGAGAATTATTCCCAGCGGGAACTGTACCCGAATCTGACTCCCCGAAAAGACGGAACAAAATGACGCCACTCCAAAACAATTATCATCGAGCCAATCGCCTTCCGAACCTTAGACTCACGCCGTTTTCGTAGCCATCGCCAACCAGTCAGTTCGCGAAGAGAACAGAATTATTGGTGGTTCTGAGGGCGAATTTCCAGTGCGCTTTCGATGAGAGGGAATTCACGAGGGCGACTCGAGCCGAGCAGCTCCATGCCTAGAACTTCCCAAAGTCCCGATACTTCCCGACTGACGCAACTATATCAATCTCCTGCTTCACGATCATCATCTAAATCGATCATTGTCCTCCAAGCCTAAAGTGTCTCTGATATTCAAGCCCCGTATTCACATCAGCAAGCTCCGATTCTTTCCCTCTTCTCCCTTTCTCCATGGCTCCCGTTTTCAACGTCCGCAGCTTACTCTGCGTGGGATTCGTTCTGCTGGCTCTCGTCCTCACTCCCGCCGATGCCATGTACGCCACGTCCGCTGATCTGAACCGCGAGGGAACGTGCTACCGCGGTCAATTCGACTACGGCGAGAGTTCGGATTTCGACTACGGCATGGTAGCGCAGGTGCCTTCGGGCGATTTCAACAGCGGAAAGGGCTGCGGAAGGTGCTACGAAGTCTCCTGCATGAACCACCCGAGCTGCTTGGAGGGCAGCGTGCTGGTGCGCGCGGTCGGCCAAAATGGCGACTTCAACCTCAACTTCGCCGCGTGGGACAGAATCGTCGCCGACCGGGCCGCGGGGCGCGTGGAGATTGACTACCGCAGCGTGGACTGCCCTAGCAACGGCGGCCTGAAGGTCAGATTGGTCGACGATAGCAACTCGTACAACTTCGCGCTTCAGATTATCGGCGCGGCGGGGAGCGGAGGCGTGGAGAACGTGGAGCTGTCGAACGACGGGTCGCAGTGGACGAGCATGACGACGTACGGATGGGGCGCCACGTGGGTGCTGAATCCCGCCAAGGACGTTGTCGATGCGGGGCTCCCGGTGAGCGTGCGCGTGACGGGCGGCGGGCAGCAGGTGGTGCTGCAAGACGTGATTCCGAGCGGATGGAGCGCCGGGACGACCTACGAGAGTGACACCAACTTCTAGAGGAGAGTCGTCGCGAGATGGGCGTATAGGTGCAACACTTGCTACTAGAAACGGGACGTCCTGTAACGAGGTGGTGCGGCGCAGGAGGGTGCTTGCAAATAATGCTGCCACCGTGGCATGGTGGTGTGCACAGCAGTGAATAAATGCCCAGCCCTCTATGGAAGTGGATGAGCTGAGGCTAAGTGTGATCCGATCAGATGCTAGGAGTAATTAGCCATTCCGCTAGGTAATTGCTAGGTTGCCGCTGCGAGCTCTCTCATTCCTTACACTGTCATCCATTGTTATTCCAATCAAATGGGAGCGGTACACTCCAAGCAGAAAAACGTTTCATAGAAAAGTGAGTGCATCTTCAGAGAAACGTTCCATAATAAGCGATTTCATTTCTGAAAAGTGCAGAAGAGAAAACATTCCACTGTGCAAAATGTTGTGACGTTTATTGACACTGCTTTCTAAAAAATGCTATAAATGCCAAGACCTGGCTGGGGCCACCTATTGAGGGGCTTTGGTTGGTGGAAAATAACATCAGGCCGTTCCACTCTACTCTCTGCAGACCTCTCACTCCTCCCTTATTCCATGAACAACTTTCTGCTTTCCCCTTGCGTCACTAACTACCATGCTGAACCCCCTGAAGACGAGCCAGCTCCAAGCTGAAGTCGACCTGCTCGGAGCTCTCGATCTCATGGTCAATCCTAACAGCCATGCGGTCCTCGTCCTCCCCGAAGAACTCCTCCTTGAGCAGCAGCAGCTCTGCCAGCACACGGCTCATGCCCGGGCGAGACGCCGTGGGCATGGCGGTGCAGGTGAGCGCCAGGCGTGCCATGCGCAGCACCAGGTCGTCCGGTGCTTGCAGGTGCGGGTCCTTTAGTGCCGCCACGTCCCCTGGTGCCACCAGCGATGCTGCCTGTTAGTGCATCAATCGAGGGAAGCAAGGGAGCCGGGGAGGGATGAGGGGAAGAAACGGAATGGAGAGTTAAGAGTTTTTACAATGAAGAACGAATGTGCAAGGATACCATGATATGGACAGAAGGATGAACATTGAAAGAATTGGGCAAGGTGTCGGAGCAATACCCACCCATTGCTTGAGGTTGACTTGGTTTGACTCGATGTTGTAGATGGCCTTGCGAGCCGTGATCACCGCCAGCATCACCACTCCAAAGCTGCAGGCAGATGGGAAGTAATGCAGTGAGGCAGCAGAGAAGATAAACAGCAGTCAGCAGGGTAAGGGATCAAGGCAGTCAGCAAAGTAAGGGATCAAGGCAGTCAGCAGGGAAGGGTAGCAAGGCAGTCAGCAGGGTCAGGGAATGAGGCAGTCAGCAGGGTAAGGGAAAAAGGCAGTCAGCCTTGGGAGTAACCATGTGCGAGTGGTAATAAGCAGGATCCACGTGGCCTGGTGTGCCCGTGTCGGAGTGTTTCCTAGAATTCTAAAGAACACGTGAACACCATATAATCCCGCACCATGACGGAGTATTTTTTGGAATTCTAAAACACTCGCAAGTAACATATCACCCGCACCTGTGCACGTCGGCCTTGGGAGTGGCCTTGTGGGAGCGGTAGTAAGCGGGGTCCACATAGCCCGGCGTGCCCATGACTCGGGTAGCGGCCACAGATGTACCTTCCCCAAGTCGCACCAGCCCAAAGTCAGCGAGCTTGGCGTGCATGCGCGCGTCCAGCAGCACGTTGGCGGGCTTGATGTCGCGATGCACGATGCTGAAGCCGTGCAGATACTCCAGCCCCCGCGCCATGCCCGTCAGGATGGCGAGTCGTTGCTGCATTGTGAGCGGGTGGGGTGCATCTGGGAGGAGGAGGCATGGCAGTTGGGAGTTGGGCAGCTGGGTGTGCTTATGAATGGAACAAGAGTCTCCAGGTTGATAGAATAGATGGCATAGACGCAATGCATTGCAGGTGCGTAAACAGCTGGAACAGGACAGTTGTAAAGCTGTAGCAACGTGCTAGGTTGTGCAAATGTAATGGATAGAACGATGGCTACAGAATTCACCAGTCTGTTGACAAGAACAATGCATACATGACGGGATGCTAAAGATTCTCTTTCATTTTTTTTCTGTGCGTGTGTTTTTTTTTTTTTTTATACGATACAAATCGTAAAATACTCTTGATATGCTGTACAGCCTTACATGGTTCTATCCACACACCTTGTGCAAGGAACACAAAAAACCGCCTTGGCTCACCAGGTCCGATCCAGCGGTCGAGGTCGCCGTTGGCCATGAACTCATAGACCACGATCTGCTCCATGCGCTCCGCCTCGTAGCTCATGTCAAAGCAGTACCCCAGCAGCCTCACCAGGTTCGGATGGCTCTTGGTCGCCATCTCGTTGATCTGCAGGGGGGTGGGGGGGGGAGGAAGCAGAGCCGAGGGAAGCGGGGTGGGTGGAAGCAGGGCGGTTTCTGAAGAGCAGCCGCACCAGCTTCGGATAGCTTTTAGTCGCCATCTCGTTGATCTGCATGGCCGTGGGGTGGGAGGGGGCAAAGGGGATGGGGGGAGAGGGGGGGAGGGAAGCAGGTTGGGAGATATAAGGTTGAGAGGAAGCAGGTTCGGGGTAATCAGGTTGGGGAAAAGAAGGGTGAGAGGAAGCAGGTTCGGTGTAATCAGGTTGGGGGAAAGAAGGGTGAGAGGAAGCAGGTTCGGGGTAATCAGGTTGGGGAAAAGAAGGGTGAGAGGAAGCAGGTTCAGGGTAATCAGGTAGGGGGAAAGAAGGTTGAGAGGAAGCAGGTTCGGTGTAATCAGGTTGGGGGAAAGAAGGTTGGGAGGAAGCAGGTTCGGTGTAATCAGGTTGGGGGAAAGAAGGTTGAGAGGAAGCGTGTTGGGAGGAAACAGTTTGGGAAGCAGGATGGGAGAAGTAGGTTGGGAGGAAGCAGGTTGGGAGAAAGGGGGTTGGGAGGAAGCAGGTTTGAAGGAAGCATCTTGAGAGAAAGCAGGTTGGGGGGAAGCAGGTTGGGAGGAATTTGGTTGGGGGGAAACTGGTTGGGGCGAAGAAAAACACCCTACAGACAAGGTTGGCAGCGACACCTTCCTTGTACCCCGCTACCGAAACCAATGCCAAGTATGATATGCGTGGTTATCTCAGAGCTTGATATTGCTGAGATTACCAAGCCAATGCAACACATGGAAGGGAGTCTCACCTTTCGCCGGAAGTCGTTAGTTGCACGCGGCCTCGCTTTTGAGATTTCATAAAGCCGATGCGACACACGGCAGGGCGTCTCACCTCGCGTCGGAAGTCGTTGGTGAGCACGCGGGCTCGCTTCACAGCCCACACCTCCTTGGGGTTCCGCGGATTCACCCCCCTGTACACATCGCCAAAGCTGCCGCTGCCAATGCGGTTGCTCTCTGCCCACTCCCCTGTCGCTCGAGCCATCTCTTGCAGAGTGAATCGCTGGCACACGTCTAGCCCAGCACCCCCTGCAGCACAAAGCAGTGGTTGCACTGCTGGCGCTGGTGGAGCTGCTGGAAATGCCACTGCAGCAGCTGCGGCAGCTGCAGCGGCTGCTGCTTCTTCTGCTGCCCCCACTGCTCCTGGTGTTGCTGAGCGCCCTGCTTGGCACAATGATTCGCTTGATCGTCCCTTTATCCCTGCTTGACCCACCTCTAATGCCGCCGCCGCCGCTGCTGCTGCTGCGGGTGCTTCTTTTGCTGCCATTGCTGACGCAGAAGGTATGTCAACAACCACTTGCCCTAGGACCACTCCAGCTCCTGCTGCTGCCACAGCTGGCGGTGCTGCTGCCACTGCTGGTCGTGGTGGTCGTGGTGCTGGTGCTGCTGCTACTGCTGGTCGTGGCGGTCGTGGTGCTGGTGCTGCTGCCACTGCTGGTCGTGCTCGTGGTGCTGGTGCAGCTGCTACGACTGCTACTACCGCTGGTGCTGCCGTTCCATTAAATGCCCCAGTCAACCTTTTAGGTACCTGTGCCGCAGTGGGTGATGTGATTATTTTTGGAGGCTGCTTGACCGGTGGCGGTGCGACACGTGGCAAACGATAATTGTTGGATGGTGGTGTGAACTTGGAGGGTTTGCCTGCAGAAGCTGGAGGCATCGGTCCTGGGACCACGTGACCACCCTTGCTTGAAAGGTCAAAGAAACCCACCAAGCCAGCCCATTTTTTTTTTAGAGTGTCGGAAAAAACGGCCAGCAAAAACAACAGGAGGGCGGCACCAGCTACAGACCCTGACACAATGGCTATGACTTTGTCCATGTACATTTTGAGATACACTGCTTCTAGCGGGGTTTTTGTTGCCTCTGGGCAGATGGAACCACTAGTAATGGTATTCTGTGCCGAGGAAGTTCCTGTCACCAGGCGGATGAAACGCTTGGGGTATCTGACTATGCGTCAAGGTGTCGTGTGACCAGCACGTCCTGTATTGATGAATCGGTGGGGGAATAGGGCATTGCTGCTGCTATAACAAACAAAGGAGACGTGGAATGACAAGTGGAGGCGTCTGGTAAGCAAATAATACACAGTGGAATCTGCGAGCATAGATCAGAGGGTCTCGAAGAGGCGTGTTTACTGTATGAATCTATCATCCAGGTTTCGTGTTTGAACTACCTTCGAAGTTACTATCTGCGCTCTCCTTTCAGTTCGAAAGGCTCTTAGAATCGTTGAAAGAGGCATGTCCGAAACGAAAAATCGAAGCACAGAAGGCTCCAGAATTACTTCGCGGCTAAATAAGCGAGCAATAGATGAATAGTAACTACGGTGTAGAGCGCTTGTCAGCTACGACTACCAGTAAGGAGAAAAGATCAAGAATTTGAGTGACATTCAATCATGAAGTATGGATGCACAAACCCAGATGAGTAGGAGGAGCAAGGTGAGGAGTGAGCGAAATGGCGACACTGGGAAAACAGTTTCGCGAACGTAAAACCTCATGTTCACGAATTAAAGAGCAACAAGTTACCAGGCTAGTCGGCTCGCTCGCTACTCATTGTGCTTCGGTGCTGAGTTGGTTTGGACGATCGGGCAGTTTTTGCGAAGCCAGCTGCTGGCAAGAACTGGTGGAGACTCGATGTGGATGAGGTGGCATGATGACGACGACGTTGGAATGCAGGGGACGAGTTTGACAGTGAGCGTACAGTTTTCGCGACCTAGATTGACTACTAAAGATGGATTCCTCGAGAAAGAGGATGTGTACAGTTTTCTTCTGAAAGACTAGTTCACCTAAACGGTGCCTCGGCTAGAAATTGTATTTGTTACGGGTGCAATGGATCTAAGTAGCAATAATTGCACTAAGGTGTCAAACGAGTACAAAATGTGAGCGAAGGCATGAGCGAACATTTATACGCGAAACATGCAGACGGTAACGCGGTGTGTGCGAGCTAGCTAGTGCTGCACTGGAAGCGAGGCTCGGGCTAGTCCCGAAGCGTAGGCCGACACGGCCGGTCCAGCAGTGCGAGGTTTGGTAAAGCAGTGCGCGCGAAGTCGGCGAAGCCCCGTTAGCAGTAACGGGCGAACAACGGCTGCTGCTGTATGCGGTGTTGCAGGGTGCGCTACGGAATATCGAGAAAATTCCTTACACTACCCCCTCACCCCTTAAGAAGCCCCCTCCGCTACGCTAGTGCGTGTATATCGCGGAAACCTCGGCTCCTCAGGTACACTTGCAAGGCAGGGTGGTTTTCGATGTTGGCCAGGGGCACCCAGCTATCTTCAGTTGGCGTGCGGTCCTTCCAGCGAACGAGGAATTCAATCTTCCTGATTCCCGTGGGGTGTCGAATCCGATGGCTCACGATTTTTTTGGGCTCGATGCTCGGTTCCGATGCAAGGCGAGTCATGGATGGTGGGCGTTGACGAGGCAGTTTGCTTGTGGTTGGGATGTATGGGCAAAGCAGGCTGACGTGGAACGAAGGGCTAATGTACCAGTCCGTCGGCAACAGTAGGTGGGCTGTCACTTGGGTAATCATGTGGCTGATTTGGAATGGTCCACAGTAGCGGGGTCGTAATTTTTGTACGACGGGAAGCCTTAAGTTCTGTGTGTCGAGCAGTACGTAGTCTCCTGACTGGTACGTGACTGGGCGGTGGTGGCGGTCAGTGTTGCGCTTAGCGATGACATTGGCTTTTTTAATTGCTTCTACGGCTCTGGTGTGAATTGCTGTGCACGTGGTGTTGGGTTGTCCGGACTCGGCGTCATGGGCACTGTAGGATTTTGCCCGTAGTTTAGAAAGGGGACTGCTGCATCGTCGCTGACGTGGCGTTGTTGTACGCGAACCCGATCAGCGACAGCTGTTGCTCCCAAGTGGTCGGGTCGTCGCACGTGGCACGAATCAACTGCTCCATCGTCTGATTCTTCCGCTCCGTTTGACCGTCGGTCTCGGGGTGGTACGACGAGCTGAACTGTAGCCTTGTCCCGAACTGCTCCCAGAGGTTTTTCCAGAAGTTGCTGGTAAACTTCGTGTTGCGGTCGCTGATTATCGCGGCCGGTATCTCGTGCAGTCGAACAACGGTTGCGATGAACAGGCGAGCGGTTTCTTTGGCTGAGATCGATTTCTTGCACGCAGCGAAGTGTGTCATCTTCGTCAACCTATTAACGACGACCATAACTTCGTCGTTACCCCTAGGATTCGAAGGTAACCCTGTGACGAAATCCATGGTAACCCTTTCTTTTTCGCGAGCTCTTCATCACCTGACACGTAGGACACGAGCCCACGTGGTGCTATACATCGGTCAACAGCTCCGGCTAGTAGTAATACCGCTGTAGTTGCTGTCGCGTTTTTTCTAACCCGAAATGTCCCGAGGTAATCCCGTCGTGTGCTTCCTGTACTAACAGTTCCCTCAGTAGTGAGTACGCGGGTACCCAGATGCGGTTGGTGCCTGTTTTTACGTAATAGACGCCTTTGGCCTCTGCTAGTTGCTGTGAACTTCCGGTCGTGAAAAACGGTTCCGTACTGTATCCGTGGGTGAATAGGCCTGCTAACAGTAGATTGGTTTGGGCGAGTAGGATGGCATGGAGTTGGGCGCTGGGGCGTGTGAGTGCGTCGGTGATGTTGGATGCGCCTTTTTTGTATGTGACCGTGTAGTGGAAGTTGGACTCCAGATAGTCCAACCAGCGGATCTGTCTGTCAGATTTATATGACATAGTTGCTGTAGGCTATACTGGGGTAGCACATATGGGGTACAGGTTTCTAGGGTTGTATTTGTACCCAATCTTTCCTTAGTAATTTCATTCCTCTCTCAACTCAACACTGTCGTGGGTTGAGCTCGTGCACGATCGCCAACATCTCGCGGTCGTGTATCGGGTAGTTGCATTCAAGCGGGCGAAGTTTGCGCCTGGAGGCCGTTCCCGAAGTCCTGCAACAGTACTGCTCCCATAGCGATGTCGCTAGCGTCGGTGACGAGCTCGAACGGACGGTGCGGATTTGCGATGTGCCGAGAAGGCAGCATGCTCTTTCTCCCCCCACGTGTACTCAACCCCCTTCCTCAGCAGGTCGGTCAACAGGGGAGTCAGCTTCGCCATGTCGGGGACGAACCGGCGCACATAGTTGACGAACCCTAGAAAACTCTGCAACTCGGTCAAGTTGGTCAGTGCGTGCCATGCTTGAATCGTCGCGATTTTTTTCGGGTCTATTTCCACTCCTGCAGCTGAAATAATGTGTCCCAAAAACTCCAGTCGGTCCTGTAGAAACTCACACTTAGACGCTTTTGTCATTAGGCGGTTCTCACTCAGAATCTTAAAACCTGCTTCGATGTCCTGTAAGTGTTGTGCTCTCTCGGGTCTGTAAATCAGTATGTCTTCCAGATACACGATGCCGCACTTATCTAAAAGCAGGCAAAAGGCTTCGTTCATGGTCATTTGAAAGGTGGCGGGGGCGTTGGTCAGTCCCAAGGGCATGACGGTGTATTCGAAGGATCCGTAGCGTATTCGGAAGGCTGTCTTAGGGCAGTCGGGTGGGTCGACGCGAATCAGGTGGTAACCTCCTCGAATGTTGATTTTCGAGGAAAACCGGGTTGTGCGCAGTTGGTCGATCAATTCGTCGGCTCGCGGGATGGGGTAACAGGATTTTATGGTAACCCTGTTCAGTGCATGCACATGCGAACCCCCACGTCCTTTTTCGGCGTGAACAACATCGGTGCTGCGAAGGGCGACGAACTACGGCGAATGAACCCCTTCTCGAGCAGGTAATCCAGCTGCTTCCTCAGTTCATCCAGTTTGGGTTGGGTCAGTCGAAACTGTCACTGTACTGTTGGCTGTG